ACATACATATAAAAGCAAAACAAATCTGTTTATTGCAATTTGATGAATTGAATCGTTTTAACAAATTTGGAGCTATTTCTTTTTATTTAATTTTTTTTTTTTTATTTTTTGGCATTTTTCCCACTTGGGTTTTTCAAGAATCACACCCAATTAGAGCAGAAGCAGGAGGATGCTAGAGAGTGGGAGCCGCAAGATGTTCAACAATTTGAAAACCGGCTCGGCATTTTAATGGGCGTTATAAAATAAACACATGTGTGCATGGAAATAAATATAGCAAACGATGGATTAGAGAAGAAAAAAACAGATATATCAAAAAATCTATGCTTTGATTTGGTTTTAGGTTTTAGCGCTCATCTAACGTACCGGGTCAAAGCCCCCGCGGCCGCCTCTTTGCATATGCCCAAGGACGTTGCTTACGGAACTAAAGCAAAACAACTTTCTAATAAAAAAGTCGAACGCGCCTCGATTTAATTTCTGACTTAATTTTCTTTCGCGTTTCTAAACAGAACAAAAAAAACAACCAAAGGCTAAAAACAAAGATCGATCAAAGAGCGAGTTACAAGAACCAGTTACAAGGCGCCTAAGAATTCACAGCACAGCTGAAGGTCATCGACTTAACAACTATGATACGTATGGGAGGGGGCGTGGCATTTAACTTTGACTTCAGCTTGGTGTAGCTGCTGCAGCTCGAAGCACCTACACGTTTCATTGCCTCAAACATCATTTGTTACAAAAGCTCTTGAGCTGCGTCTGACTCTCGTAGGTGTTTTTTCTTTTTTTTTTTAGAGTGCGGCTTGCAATTGGACTTGTGTTTCAGTTTGGCTTTTGGATTGCGCAACTGCCATGCAATTACCAAGCGGATCTTTCAATGCAACTTAATTGCCATAAAATCATTATTTTTGTAGGGTTTAATTATAACAAATTAAATAGCTCAAGAATGCAGCAGACTGTCATTAAATATGATTAACAACTGTACATAAACAACTTTACCACTAACAGTACGAATTATCAGACTGATCTGGTTTAGGCATTGGCGCTGAGGAATAGCAATTTTAAAGAGCAATCGGTCAGACTAGGAAGGTCTTTGAGAGTCTTTAAGTTCAATTGGATAATGTGTAAAGATTTTTTTTCAAGTGTGGCCAAAAATGGATATCTTTTTTTTTGTTTGGCTTGAATTGCAGATAAGGTCAAAACTAAAATTTATATAAATTTGATTTATATATTGGTATTTATTAATTTATTTTTATTTTATTTTATTTTTTTTTATAGTATTATTGTATTTTTTCAAATTTAAATAAATAATCTAGAATATCATAAATTATAATATACTTATAAGCTGCATTGATATCATACATGTATTAATTGACTATATACTGACCCAATTTTACTCTAAATAATACTCATTAATATAAAAGACTTTCGGGCGGTGTTCAATTAATCAGTTAAATATTATTAAAATACATAAATTGTTTTTAATGCAAAATTCACCAATATTTCAAGTAGAAAAGGACGGAGACCGGCATAGGAACTGCGCCTGATTTTTTCTGCCTCTCTCTTTCTCTCTCTTCTCTTCTTTAGCATGGATGGCTGGTGGTGGCATTTACGCAATATTACGTATTTCGCTTGCAGAGGCCACCTAAACAAAAATTGGATGCGAAAGACAACGGAGAGCAGCAACAAATTGCGGCCATCAGTGGCCACGAAAAACTTTTGTTCGTGGCAATTAAAATCATATTTTTTTTCTGTTTCTGCCATAAATGAGAAGGGGGCGTGGGAGTAGGACGTACGCATATTTGAGGCAAACTAATTAATTGCCACAAAATGACGACGACAAGGCGAATGAAAAACTCCGAATGTAATTTTTCGCAATATCAGCCAAATGTTGTTGTTGTTGTTTTTTTTTTTCTTCAATTTTTTGGTCTCTTGATTTTAATTGTTGTTGTTGTTTTTTCTTGTTTGTTGTCTGAGAAAAAGCTTGGAGAGACGTTGCACATTTTGCAAGCGCGCCTTTTGCTCTAATGAGCGCTGATCTAGACAGCGACTTTTGGAGGTCATCGACGTCGACGTCGCCAAGTTGTCCATCCAATTGTAGCTAAGTGTGTTGTTTGCTTTTGATTTGATTTGATTTGGTTTCTTTTTTTTTTTTCTTTTTCAAATTGCGAAATGAGTTTTGGCTACGTTTTTGGCCAAAAAATGCAACGACAAATGCAGCGTCAGTTGGCAGCCAAATAGATTCAAGCTACGAGTTGCACCAGTTTCGACCAAACAGCAAAAAAAAAAAAACATATAAAATAAAACGAAGCAAAAAAAAAAAGAAGCAAAATCAAAAACTTGTAATCGAAATCAGCCTCCGCTAAAGCGTTTTGCTGCAATTCCGAGTCAAGTGAAGCAGCAAGCCAGCCGCCTGCTGAGGCAATCTGGAAATCCCTGCTTAGCCGCCCCCTTACCTTACTTCCCCTCCTCACACGTTGCCCGCCCCTTCGCGATTTGGACATGTGTGCTGTATCGTCTTTGTTTGGGATTCTTTGGTTGCCCTGCATTTGGCTTTATGCTTCGCTTGGCCAGCAACCAGCAAGCGCTCTTAACTACCTTTTTTATGTGAATTTTATGCACAATATGTATGTATGTATATGTAAATGTATATGTATGTATATGTATACTCGCATGTATTTTAATGGAGCAATTGCAGCCGTTGACATGACAAAATGCCAAAAGAGCTGAACTTTGTGCAGCTCAATGAATTAATCTTATTATTATTATTATCGTTTGTACTAATGGCTAACGGTTAGGCATATTACAGTTGTTAAGGAATTTGTAACACACGATTTAGCTAGACAGATAGCTGCACATTATTGAAAATTGATTTTAAAAGCGGATTAAGACTTATAAAAAATATATATATTGTATACATTTTTAAGTAATATACATTTAATATTGTAGATTGATTTTCAATGCTAATTGCTAATTTTCATTAATTATACAATAAATCGAAGCTAATACTAAACCAATTGGCTATAACGCAAAGAATTTTACTATTAATAAAAAATGCCACAAAACACGTAAGGCGTGAAGCACCTACAAGCGATAAATAATTATGCCTTGTTTTTTATCATCAAATATATTTCATTGGCAGGAAATCTCGTTAAAACAATATATTAATATTTTAGTAACAAGCTTCTTTATAAATGAGAAATAAATACAACAAAAAGAATATCGCGATCAAAATAGACACAGCGTTTGTTAACCTAGATACTTTATTGATTATGAGTAATAAATTGCAGATTTATGAAAAATATTAATTGAATCTTTGAAAATTACTCTTCAATGCTGCTAAAATTATAGCCTTCTAAAGACACGTTTATTTCGTCAGTTTCATTCCTTTAATATCCAAGTACATGCATAAAATTATATTTGCCAATCTTGGCACATTTAACACTATCTAGCAATTTGATGGGTAATATTTTTTGTTATATCGTCTGTGACCTCTAAGCGGGCAGCGTCAG